CTAGGCCTATGGCACCTGTAAGTGATGTGTTGTTCACCACGAGATCCATCTTGTTTCACTTTGTCTCTTTTTTGTGATGTTAGCAACTGTTGGCATTCATCACCTAAATTAATCAATCACTGGGGGTTGAAAAATAGTGATTTGTAATTTTGTCTTTTTTCCTCTTTTCATTCAGCAGGTGGGATATGTATAAAATAATGCTTTCTCTTATCTCTTATTTGGCTATCAGTGATACAATTTGTTTAGGAAAAGTAGTATAAATGCTTCATTATTTCTCTTTACTAGCTTTCTCAGTGAATAATTGGTGTCCTATTTTTTTAAAAAAACTATTATAAACACATGTATTCAAACACGTTTAATGGATTTCAATCAATTGCAATTATAATCCTTTTGGAAACTCAAATTGTCCCATTTTTGTCAGTGGGAACATCTTCGGGTTGGTTTCTGAAATCTTTTTTAATAACCTAGTAGCTGGAGATAATATCCTTCCTATTTGGTGTGACAAAATGTTCCATGTTCATTTTAAATATTTACTGACTGAAGCCTAGAATCAGATTACAGCCTGCACACTTGAAGTACCTTCCAGGGTTGGCCCTTCTTCCCAGGCCAACATCACCTGTCTACATAAGTACAGAGCTGGGGATGCAGACACATAGACATAATTGTGGCGCTGTGTATATGTGTGTGTGTGAGTGAATGTATGTATATTTTGGGAATACCTTGTCACCTAGTTTTTCTGTAGATGTCCCTGAGTTTTTAGTTTTGCCATCTAGTTGCTCTGTTTTTTTAATGCGAACATTTGGAGCGGTTAAAAAAATTCACACACTGGGGCCTGTAGAGGGGTGAGGGGTCCTAGGGGAGGGATAGCATTAGGAGAAATACCTAATGTAGATGACGGGTTGATGGGTGCAGCAAACCACCATGGCACACGTATGCCTATGTAACAAACATGCACATTCTGCACATGTATCCCAGAACTTGAAGTATAATTTAAAAAATTCTACTATCTATGTTAACTTAGAGTCAATTTGCAATGGCAATCAACCAGTCTTCCTCAGTACCCAGCCAACTGCTATCTGAAGAACCACTCTGTTAGGTGCCATGTATATTGCATATGGAAATTCAAAGATACAAATTCTTTCATAGAAATAGACCTTTTCCCAATTCTCAATTCTTTCCATCACATTCTGTTTCATTCATTCATTCAGTGATTGGAGAGAGTCCCATTCATCCTTCCCTTACTACCCATCTTTATGTAGGCAGTTTACAAACAAAATCCTGTGTTTCACAGAAAAGTTTACACTGACGGTTTATGTTATATACTAGGCTTGACTCTGAATATACTGTGTCTGTATCTAATATTCAATTCCATACTCAAAATGAGATTTGGCACCATTGAGAAAGTATTGCCAAGAATGGTCTAAAAGTCCTGAAGAAGGTTCCCAGCAAGACTTAGGTATTTTGGAGTAGCTAAGCCTGTGCCCTCAGTGATTAATATTTTTTATCATAGAGAAGGGCAGTATTTTATTCCAGGGAGGATATAAAAATAAAATTTTCTTTTTCCGTGGCTCTAAGCCTTACTAAATTTGCAGCAGTAAGGATGCTGATATTTAGCTATCTTTCCAAAGTAAAGATCTGAACTAGACACATTTCTTTAGGATCCCTTCCACAGAGTAAAATATTGGATGTTATGATAAGGTTCTATTTTATTATTAGGTGTTGAGACTTAATATATAGACCATTATATGTGTTGCCTATATGTAATCAGAATAAAAATACATATATCACTTATTAAGCACCTATTTCAGGTGAATGTGGCCTCATTTTACCTCCCCAAACCCTAGAAGACAGGTGGCACTGGTAATACATGTCAGTCTCAGGTTTAAATTCAGTCATATACACTCTGGTCATCTTTTGAAATCTTGATTCTTTTAGAATAGTATTTGTTTGTCTTATTGTCTAATGCAGTTGTTCTCAATCCTGGCTTGGCAGTAGAACTACCTAGATTTTTAGCAATGCTGATATCCTAGTTCTGGTCTCGGACTTATTAGACCTGGGGCCAGTATCCAAGTTTTTTAAGACCTCGCCCAGTGTTTCTAATATGTAGCCTAATCCCGTCTAGTTAGTTCATAAACTCACGATTTCTATTAAGGTTAGCTGGTTCCCATTAGCACAAACACTAGCACTATTTCCTTTAAAGCCTACTTAAAAAGAAACTAACATGAACAATGAAAACTAAATAATTACATACATTAATACCAGTTCTATTGAGCCTGGTGTCAACATGTAAATTTAACCAAAAGAACAAAACAGAGATTCAAACCACAGATCCAGAACTTGAACTAGGATCCCTAATGGAGATTAATATTTTCTTCAGCAGTCTGCCAGCTGAATCATTGTCTAATTAAATAGTTCAGATTTAGTGAGTTTGCATTTAAAGTATTAGCAGATCTGAGAATGGGTAAAGCTAAAATGAGTTAGAATCTTTTCTGCAAATGGGAAGTTAAATTATCATAGTAATTTGATTAAATCATTTTTAAATCTCTCATGCTAAATCACAGCCTTTAAAGAATAGTTTGAAGTCTTAATTGCTGTTTGTGAGCATATCTCTCTGCTATTTGTTCTCGCCTCATTTCCTGTGACATCCTATAATATATCTCCTGCTGGGCAAGAGTAGTGGGAAAGGCAAGACTAGGGGTAGGGCCAAGGTAACTGTGCAGCTGACTTCAAGCATTTAAAGATACGCCATGTAGGAAAGGGAAGTTTATCCTGTATTGTTCTTACTAGAACAGGACCACAGGATAGAATTTGGAGACATACTTAGGAAAATTTTTAAAAGACGATGATTAGTTTTGCCTGTTGTCAAGGAGAATCTACGTACTTAATATACGCCTGTCAATGTCTTCATTAGGAATGTTATAAAGATGGCTGATGAAGATGGGAGTTTGAATGGGACATGTTTAGAGAATAGTTCATCTCATTTTTTAAGGGAATGCATGTTTAGTGTTCTGTATTCTAGCAGCATGATTGATTTGAAGAATCCTGAATTTAAACGTGAGTCTGACACATATTACCAGTGCCACCTGTCTTCTAGGGTTTGGGGAGGTAAAATGAGGCCACATTCACCTGAAATAAGGTGCTAAATAACTGGTAAATGTATTACTTTTATTCCGGTGTGGTTTTTTTTTTGTTTTTTTGTCTAGTTGGAAAATAGTTATTTCAAGGTTGACTTTTCACTGCAGCGTGTAATTCCCATTTTCTCCTTCCATCTATTCCTGTTTTCCTGGAGAGAGCTAATCATTAGACTCCGGATAAGTGGGGAAAGTCCAACTCATCTCTGTTCCCTTATGCACAAGATCCTTATTGCAGTCTTTTGTCTACCTAAAGACTCACCACAGTGTTAACCCATACCCCCCATTTTTCTTTCAGGTAGCAATACAGTGCAAAAACAGAGAGAAAGACTATCAGAGCATGTTGCCATCATCTCTATGACTGTTTTTTCTGTCCCTAACTTTGCCAACTCTTAGACAACTTTAGAAATTATGTTTGTTACTAAGAGCACTACAGGAGGTGGATGAGGTTGCCATGCTGAGAGGAACCAGACTGGAGAGAAGCTGGGGAGAAACACTCCACAGGGAAAGGCCAGGCGTATGTTGGGGAGTGACTTGAGTCCTGCTCCAGGGCACCACTATCAACACTATTTCCCACTTGGAAAAATTCCTTCTTTTTTGCTCTGCCAGGCAGAAATTGAGTGTTAAGCAATAAGCAACTTTATTCCAGATTATTCAAAATTTTTTTCAGGGGTTGTCATTAAACTACCTATTGTTAATAGTGGTCAGTTTACCAATGATGTGGTGCCATGATTCGAAATGCCAATGTAAAGGAAAAAAAAGAACACTAAATAAAATACAAATAAATTTTTAAGATATGTTCCTAGTTATATCCATCTATCTTTTAATTACTTTGCCATGTTTCTTATTATATGTTTAGCCACTTGATTTTAAATTACATTCCCTCTTTTTGTTCATGTGATCTATGTTTGAATTGTATGAAAGATTAGGCTAACTACATATATCTTAGAGCTCAGCATTTTCAGAGAACTAGAATTATTAAACATGAAGAATCCCCCAAAGACTCCATTATGTGTAATTAACAGATAAACTGTCATCAGAATCAATAAAACGTGCTAAATGATTCAAACTTGTATATAATTAAGTGTCTGCTTTAGAGCTGGAGCTGTAACTTTTATTTTTTCCCCACATCTCACATTTCTCACAAGAATAATTGTGGCAACCTTGTTAACCCTTTCTTTGCTTGATTGAATTAGATTTTCAAATTTGTCATTTAAGGGCAAAGTTCACCATTAAAAATGTGAAAAATATTTCAGAACTCAGTGATCTGAAGATACCATTTGTTTTTAATCAGGGAAGCAGACTGTCAGTATGCTTTAATGAACTGATACTAGAACATTAAATATCTTAAAAGGATAAATAATTTATTGTGATTTCTGTAGAGCGCTAGATTCCATGTATTCACATGGAGTTCTTAGGATCTTAGTCATCAACTTTTTTCTCCTTTTTGGGAAATATTGGCTTTTTGCAAGCAAAATCAGAATTTTAAACAGCCTTCGCCTACACAGCACTAAGAATAATACTTTTAATAGATGGCCTTCCATGGTTGTTTGTTGAGTGAATGAATATATACCTAGATGAGGCAATGAATAAAATAGTCAAGATTATAATATGTTAGAAGAAAGCCTTCTCTTGTTCAGCCCGAGGAGGAAAAATACACATTTTAAATAATTGATCTTTTCTAATAATTCCCACCTTCCAAGTTAGTATTAGAAATTATGTAAGGAAATGTAGAGATAGATTGTAGAAATGTGAGGCTCTGAAAAGATCAGTTTCAAACTTAGAAGTTCAAAAATAACTAATTTTAACTCTAGTCTATATAGGTTTGTTATTAATATGATGACTTATATCTTTTGCTTCATTGCACAGACTCCATGCACATAGAAGATGTTGAAGCCGTTCAAAAACTTCAGGATGTCTTACATGAGGCGCTACAGGATTATGAAGCTGGCCAGCACATGGAAGACCCTCGTCGAGCTGGCAAGATGCTGATGACACTGCCACTCCTGAGGCAGACCTCTACCAAGGCCGTGCAGCATTTCTACAACATCAAACTAGAAGGCAAAGTCCCCATGCACAAACTTTTTTTGGAAATGCTGGAGGCCAAGGTCTGACTAAAAGCTCCCTGGGCCTTCCCATCCTGCACGTTGAAAAAGGGAAAATAAACCCAAGAGTGATGTCGAAGAAACTTAGAGTTTAGTTAACAACATCAAAAATCAACAGACTGCACTGATAATTTAGCAGCAAGACTATGAAGCAGCTTTCAGATTCCTCCGTAGCTTCCTGATGAGTTTCTTTCTACTTTCCTCTATCATCTTCTTTTCTCTTTCTTCCCACATTTCTCTTACTCTTTGTTCTTTCTCTTTCTTCTTTCCCCCTCCATTATTTCTTGGCTTCTTTCATTCCTAGTTCCCCTCTCCTTTATTTTCTTTTCATCCACCTGCCTGCCTTCTTTCTTTTCTTTGCCTACTCTCTTCCCTCTTTCCTCATCCTCCCCTTTTGTTCTAAATTTTAAATAGCTTTAGTTGTAAAAAAAAAATAATTTCCTCCTTCCCTTTCCTTTCCCCTTTCTTTTCCTTTCTTCCTGATCTTCTTTCTATTCTTTCTTTTTCTTCCTTCTGCTGCTGAACTTTTAAAAGAGGTCTCTAACTGAAGAGAGATGGAAGCCAGCCCTGCCAAAGGATGGAGATCCATAATATGGATGCCAGTGAACTTATTGTGAACCATACCGTCCCCAATGACTAAGGAATCAAAGAAAGAGAACCAACGTACCTAAAAGTACAGTGCAACATACACGAATGGACTGAGTGCAGTATTAGATTTCATGTGAGCAGCCTCTAATTAGACAACTTAAGCAAGGTTGCATCGGCTGCTTCTTATCATTGCTTTTCCATCTAGATCAGTTACAGCCATTTGATTCCTTAATTGTTTTTTCAAGTCTTCCAGGTATTTGTTAGTTTAGCTACTATGTAACTTTTTCAGGGAATAGTTTAAGCTTTATTCATTCATGCAATACTAAAGAGAAATAAGAATACTGCAATTTTGTGCTGGCTTTGAACAATTATGAACAATAATGAAGGACAAATGAATCCTGAAGGAAGATTTTTAAAAATGTTTTGTTTCTTCTTACAAATGGAGATTTTTTTGTACCAGCTTTACCACTTTTCAGCCATTTATTAATATGGGAATTTAACTTACTCAAGCAATAGTTGAAGGGAAGGTGCATATTATCACGGATGCAATTTATGTTGTGTGCCAGTCTGGTCCCAAACATCAATTTCTTAACATGAGCTCCAGTTTACCTAAACGTTCACTGACACAAAGGATTAGATTACACCTACAGTGACTCTGAGTAGTCACATATATAAACACTGCACATGGGATATAGATCCGTAGAATTATCAGGAGTGCACCTCTCTATTTGGGAGGTACAGTTGCCATATGATTTCTAGCTGCCACGGTGGTTAGGAATGAGATACTGCCTGTTTGCAAAGTTACAGACCTTGTCTCAGAAGGAGCTGTGAGCCAGTATTCATTTAAGAGGCAATAAGGCAAATGCCAGAATTAAAAAAAAAAAAAAATCATCAAAGACAGCAAATGCCTGACCAAATTCTAAAATCTAATCCATATAAGTTTATTCATTTAGGAATGTTTGTTTAAATTAATCTGCAGTTTTTACCAAGAGCTAAGCCAATATATGTGCTTTTCAACCAGTATTGTCACAGCATGAAAGTCAGTCAGGTTCCAGACTGTTAAGAGGTGTAATCTAATGAAGAAATCAATTAGATGCCCCGAAATCTACAGTCGCTGAATAACCAATAAACAGTAACCTCCATCAAATGCTATACCAATGGACCAGTGTTAGTAGCTGCTCCCTGTACTATGTGAACAGTCTTATTCTATGTACACAGATGTAATTAAAATTGTAATCCTAACAAACAAAAGAAATGTAGTTCAGCTTTTCAATGTTTCATGTTTGCTGTGCTTTTCTGAATTTTATGTTGCATTCAAAGACTGTTGTCTTGTTCTTGTGGTGTTTGGATTCTTGTGGTGTGTGCTTTTAGACACAGGGTAGAATTAGAGACAATATTGGATGTACAATTCCTCAGGAGACTACAGTAGTATATTCTATTCCTTACCAGTAATAAGGTTCTTCCTAATAATAATTAAGAGATTGAAACTCCAAACAAGTATTCATTATGAACAGATACACATCAAAATCATAATATTTTCAAAACAAGGAATAATTTCTCTAATGGTTTATTATAGAATACCAATGTATAGCTTAGAAATAAAACTTTGAATATTTCAAGAATATAGATAAGTCTAATTTTTAAATGCTGTATATATGGCTTTCACTCAATCATCTCTCAGATGTTGTTATTAACTCGCTCTGTGTTGTTGCAAAACTTTTTGGTGCAGATTCGTTTCCAAAACTATTGCTACTTTGTGTGCTTTAAACAAAATACCTTGGGTTGATGAAACATCAACCCAGTGCTAGGAATACTGTGTATCTATCATTAGCTATATGGGACTATATTGTAGATTGTGGTTTCTCAGTAGAGAAGTGACTGTAGTGTGATTCTAGATAAATCATCATTAGCAATTCATTCAGATGGTCAATAACTTGAAATTTATAGCTGTGATAGGAGTTCAGAAATTGGCACATCCCTTTAAAAATAACAACAGAAAATACAACTCCTGGGAAAAAAGGTGCTGATTCTATAAGATTATTTATATATGTAAGTGTTTAAAAAGATTATTTTCCAGAAAGTTTGTGCAGGGTTTAAGTTGCTACTATTCAACTACACTATATATAAATAAAATATATACAATATATACATTATTTTCACTGTATCACATTAAAGTACTTGGGCTTCAGAAGTCAGAGCCAACCAACTGAAAACATGAGATGGAGATGTGTTCAAAAAACGAGATACAATTTTTTAAGTTTTCAGTTTAATAACTCTCAGCATTGCAAAAGACTAAGTATCTCACAAATAGGAAATAAAACTAAAACGTAGATTTAAAAGAACTGCACGGGCTTTAGGGTAAATGCTCATCTTAAACCTCACTAGAGAGAAGTCTTTTCAAGTTTCAAGCAAGACCATTTACTTAATGTGACGTTTTGGAAAGTTATAAAGGTGTATGTTTTAGCCATATGATTTTAATTTTAATTTTGCTTCTTTTAGGTTCGTTCTTATTTAAAGCAATATGATTGTGTGACTCCTTGTAGTTACACTTGTGTTTCAATCAGATCAGATTGTTGTATTTATTCCACTATTTTGCATTTAAATGATAACATAAAAGATATAAAAAATTTAAAACTGCTATTTTTCTTATAGAAGAGAAAATGGGTGTTGGTGATTGTATTTTAATTATTTAAGCGTCTCTGTTTACCTGCCTAGGAAAACATTTTATGGCAGTCTTATGTGCAAAGATCGTAAAAGGACAAAAAATTTAAACTGCTTATAATAATCCAGGAGTTGCATTATAGCCAGTAGTAAAAATAATAATAATAAAACCATGTCTATAGCTGTAGATGGGCTTCACATCTGTAAAGCAATCAATTGTATATTTTTGTGATGTGTACCATACTGTGTGCTCCAGCAAATGTCCATTTGTGTAAATGTATTTATTTTATATTGTATATATTGTTAAATGCAAAAAGGAGATATGATTCTGTAACTCCAATCAGTTCAGATGTGTAACTCAAATTATTATGCCTTTCAGGATGATGGTAGAGCAATATTAAACAAGCTTCCACTTTTGACTGCTCTTTTGTATTGTGTTTCTTTTTTCCCCCCACTAAGGAACCAAATCAATAAACACTGCCCTTTGTTGCTTCCATTCAAAGAGTATCTCCAAGTACCTGTTCCCTAAAAATAAAGTCGGAGTTTAAATAAGTGCTATATAAAGGCTTGTCAGAATGAATTCTAGGGTGCCAAGAGACATTTTGCATATTTAAGAGTATGCAAAGTGTCTCATGGCACATTAGAATTCATTCTGACAAGCCTTTATATAGCTCTTATTTAATGTTAAAGCATCTCCACATCATCCTGCATTACTCAAAATCATCGCCTCTATGTCAATGTCATAACAGAAAACTCTCCCCCTATTTTAAGATCATATTAAAACCTGCTAGAGATACCCGTTATTTCCCTCTATCAACAATTAAATCATGTGCTTGCTCCAAGCTCTTCGGCAAGCTGCAGGCTGTGTGGAGCAGCAGTGGAGCTGCTGACCAGATTTCCTTAATGGGAAGTCAACAAGCAGAGCTTAGAGATCCGTGTGAATTAGGGGCAGGAGCTGTCTTCGAATTCAAGAGGGTTAAACAGCACTGCTGACAGCAAATGGCCTCCTCTTGCCTTTTACATTCAGAGAGGTTACAGCCCTTGCTGCGCAGGGTCAAGTTGTAGCTTCCACTGGACCCTCCTGGAGCCATCACGGAAGTGCTAATATGTGCTTTCTTGGCTTCTCTGCCTATCTTGAGGGTGTTTTGTCATTGTGTTTGCCCACCACATTTCTCACCTTTCAGAGGTGGTTGGTTCTCTGGAGAAGCAAGCTGATGACACAAAGGCCACTAAACTGAATTGGTTTTAGGGGCACAGGATTACCTAAATCACTCAGATGCACTAGCTACCAAGATAGCTCAGTATTGTGTTTTTTATATTTTAATGTCTTTTGAGTGGCAACAGTTCAACCTAAAATCTGACATGTTTTACTTTTGATGTTTTTTAAGTGCTTGGGTGGGACTGAAACAATACAAGATACAAATCTAAAAGGAAAAATCATATCTAATCTTCCAGTGAGGTCCTCATTGTAAAATATGCTACACACACACACATACACACACACACACACACACACACACACTTTTAAGAATTCTTACTAGAATTATCTTGCTGTTCCTATAATTTAGAATTATTACAGGACAACTTTTCTGGTACTGACATATTTATCATGGATGCCTCAGGTGTAAAAGAAAATGAAGTAGGATTTTGACATTTCAGCATGTTGTTTCCGGTTATATAAACAAGTACCTCTGACAAATGCATTATGTTTGTTTTAAGGGATCACTTCTATTTTCACCAGTTGCTTACAAACGATTTATTTTTAAGCCAGTGGTTCCCAAATTTGTCTGCATATTGAAATCACCAGGAGAGTGTCAAAATTCCTGATACTCACATCCCACCCACTGAAATTGTGGTTTTGTTGATCCACGATTTGGCCTGGGTTTTTGGAATGCTTAGAAAAGATCTCCGGGTGATTCCAATATGAAGACAAATGGAGAAACACGTCCTCTAAATTTTTATGCTTTTCTTAAATAAACCAAAAATAATGAACTTTTTAATATTGGTTCTAAATTTTTGTTAGGGTTTTAGATTTTTTTTTAATAACAAGACAAAAATATTTAACTTTTTTTTCTTACAAAACCAATGGAACACACTTTGATTATTTTGACCTGCATAAAACAAATGGAAAATACATTTTATTTGATGACTCCCAAGCCACCTCTTCCGGTTATGTCTCCATATAAAGATGGAGATGGATGGCCGCTCAAAACTTGTTTGCAGAATATCTCACAACTTTTAAAATCCTGTTCATTTGGCTCATTAATGTGCTTTAGAATTAATTTAGGTGGGATCCAAAATACATGTCTTTCCCTATTGACAAACAAAAGAGCAACAAAATAAGAAAAATCCGATTTCTCGAAAGGACTTCTCTTACTTATATTTTCAAGTTGTTGATTTAGGTGAGAGGTAGAAATGAGATAGACTATTTTACCCTTGGGCCTCTGCAAAAAACTTTAGATACACTTTGACTATAAAATTTAATTTGTGATTAACTTGTAAAAGAAAAGAGAACTATGCTTCAGGTTTTTGTTTCATCCACAATGATTTACATACTGAATGGACAGCACCATAGACCAGTAGATAAGAACATATCTGCGTCAGTGCAGGCCTTTCAAATCTCCAAATCTAGCTTTTCATGCCCCCGGGTAGTGTGGAAAAAACAAAATGAAACAAGTAACTGTAGATTGATTACATATTACATCTTATTATGAAACAAATAGAAAAGAAAGGAATTTCGAAATATAATCCTGGTTTCCCAGGAGTATTTGTCTTGTTCTTCACGAAGTTAAGGGTCTGAAATAATGTGACCATCAGGGGCTCAATGTTGCATATCCATGCCAGTTGGTTCAAGGGCTTGTTATGATGGTAATGACCTACTGAAACGTGAGCTTGGATTGCACAATACAATTGCTACCAGCTCACCCGCTGGGAGAAATATTTTATTATTGTCAAATATCCTCCATCGAGATTTGTTTTGCCTTTTTCTGTTTAAATTAAATTCAAAGCAGAACTACATTACTATTTCTCTGGAGTATATTTCAGATAAACAATTAGTCTCAAATTTTAGGATTCCTGGCTAGTTCAAATTTGTTTATTAGCAGAAAAATTACAATCAGTGACACTACAGCTGCAGGAATATTATGACTGCAGCAACACAAGAGATTTATGTACTGAGTCTATGGCCTAAAAGCAAGAACTCCCTTTTTCATTACAGATGCCAGCCAGATTAATAATTACCTATTTCATCTATTGTACAATCTTTAAAAAAAAAGTACCAATATGGTCATATATTGCCATAGCATGTCACAGAATTTCAAACATGAGAAACTTTGCTCCAAGTAAGAAGTATTTTTTTGATTTATCATAAGCCAAAAGTATTATGTGTGTACATTAAAAAAAAGAAACACAGTGGACACAGCAGAGCCCGTGAATGAAAATGTTCTTTAAGTACAATATACATTTAACAGCAGTATTTTTTCAAAGAACTGAAAACAGGCTGGGCACAGTGGCTCATACCTGTAACCCTGGCTCTTTGGGAGGCAGAGTGGGGTGAATCACTTGACCTCAGGAGTTCAAGCCCAGCCTGGGCAACACTGTGAGACTCCGAGCCCTATAAAACTAAAGTTAAAAAAAAAAAAAAAAAAAAAAAAAAAAAACAACGTCTTAGAGTATATGGGATTATTTGGATAATTTTGCCAGAAGCCCTATATCACAACTTTGATGAAGGATTCTGAAACGGTGAAGTTTTAGACTACAAATTTTGTTGAATGCAATCAAACTAGAAATGGACTTTACTGTGAGAAAATAAAAAAAGGGTTAGAATGGTGAAAATAATAGTGGCCTGTGTGTTTCACATGGGCTGAACTTTGGGGAGCTGATTTTAGATAATGCAAACAAACTTTTGGGAGGGGTCACCAAAATGGCCTAATAGGAAAACATTTCAGACTAGCAGGAGCATTAAATCACACTATTCACACTCAAATTCAATCTGCCATGCTCAGTCGAATTTCACAGTTTTGTTGGGAAGTGAAGAACTGTCTGCTGTTTTAAAAAAGCAGCATAGAAAGCTAAAATCATAACAGCAATTTCTGAAATGAGGTCTATAGCCATGCAAGTGTTGACTTTTTCCCTTAAAATATGGGATTTATTATATTTTAAGATCGTGCAGGTTTACTACATAGGTATACATGCGCCATTGGTGGTGGTTTGCTAAATCCATCGCTCCGTCATCTACATTAGATTTTATATCATTATGAATGAAGAATATTAGACCTTAATGTTAAAACTATTTTGCAGGTATTTTTGTAACAATTTCTCAGATATTCTTTATATCCACTAGACTTTATTTTGCTTGGGTCTTCCTTTTGTAATCAGAATGAATTGGCCATCCCTAATGTACCAAATTTGTTCATGCTTGTAAATCAAAAGGCTTGTAGTCTATATTTTTAACTGTACATACAGAAAAAAAGTCACTTTCTCCACAGAAATAAGTACGTAGTTCAGAGTTATTTCGGGGCTGGTTAGTAAGTAAATAGATGTTTTATATGAGTATGTTTTTATACACAAGGAATTCTATGACACATGACTTACTTATCTGGGTTTAATAAGATTTGGTGGTGCTGTGATAAAGAGTAACAGTACACCATACTGGTTACATGCATAAACTTTGAGTTTGTAGTGTACAGGTTCAAATCCAACTCTGCCATTAACTAGCTGTGTGGTGTTATTACTATTTAAGTATATTCTGCTTAGATAAATGGGGATAAGTATACCATTGGAGGATTGTTATTAGGATTAAATTTGTTAATTTAGGGAAATAATTTGTATCTATTTTAAAAGTTCAATACGTTGAAAATGTAATTTCTTTCTTCCTCTTTAAGTCTTTTCCAAGAGAGGCTAAATAAGACTCCAGGATAATCAAGGTGGGAGAAAAAGTCTTTAGGACAGGAGGAAAATGCAGGTGTTTGGGATGCAGGTGCATAGGAGGCTGCTTTGGGGAATTTCTCTTGAGTGGACATTAAAGTGGTGTAGAATCAGGGTTGACTTGATGCTGCACAACACAGGTTCAGTCAGAAACCAGTCATGGGCCTAACTCTTGTGCCGGACACTATGTTAAGTTCTTTAAATACATCATACAATTTAATATTCCCAATTTCTTTATGCGGGAAATGTCATTAATTTCTCCATTTTATAGATGAAGAAAAGGAGTCTCAGAGAAGTTAAATAAGTTGCTCAAGGACCAAATAATTAATACACAAGTCAGCTAAATTTGAATGCACCTTCTCTAGCTCCTGAACCTCATATCTTAAAACACTAACCCTATATTTAAGCAGTTTCCTGAAACTGAATGATAGTACCCTTTTTTATTTTAAATTTTGAATAGGTGGAATGCAGAGTGAATTGATTCTGTTGCTTAGATTA